CCGTGATGCTTCACCTAACTGAAGATGCGGAGCACAACACCTGGGGCAGCACGACTGGACTGCGGATGATGCTCGCGGAGCAGTCGACTGAGGCGGCACCTGCTGGTAGAAGACACAGCATATCCTCGCCACTGCTTTTCCAGCTGGCGGCAAAAGCGTTCAGCACTGTAGTGGCCAAAGCGTCTGCAAAACACAAGAGTGGGACCTGACTAGAGACGTGTGCAGAACAAGTCATGTCCAAGCGTCGGGTAGGCGAGGACTGAGAAAGTCTGTCTTTTTCCAGGACACCCCAGCATATGAAGAGCAGTTGCTGTCGCACCTGTGCGACGCGAATGACAATCATGAAAGATGAAGGAGCCAGGGGCGCCAGGCACCGTCGTCCAGGCATGCCATCGGTGCGCCCCCGTACTCCTCGGACGCGGAACCTTCTTACTATATGGACACTGGGAAAAAAAAGGAAACAGAGGCATAACCGACCCCATCACTCTGGCCACAGCTCGAGCCTTGCCAATCAGGGCATTGAGGTTGTCCCAGGCCTCCTGTGGCTCCTGCGCGTGCACAGCGAGAGCGCCTCTTTCGCGAAACTATCCGCTAAACAAGTGGCTCTCGTTATCCTCCGCTCATCGGGCGGAAGCTCATCAGTTATTTCCATGATGCGGCGGGCTGGGGTATGGATACAGGGGCCGACGTTTTTCGAGCCAACTATCCCCAAGAACCCCCTACGGAGCCCAGCAGCCTTGTTTCTTGACACTACTTGCTGGGCAGCTGGAGCGGCAGGAGCGAGGGGGAGGAGGAACAAGTGCAGCAGCAGGAGGAAGATGGGCGATCTGGGGCAGGAGAAGGTACGTACGCACGAAATCGCGGCGGTCTCCGGAGGACTGCAGAGGTCGCTGGGCGCTGGGAGGGATCAGCACATGGAGGAAGCGGGTCCAGGAGGAAAGAGGTCTAGAAGTGTTCCTCCTCATTTGGGGACCCCCGTAGAGGGCCGGGCATGAGTGATGAGGATCCTCACGGTCGGAGACCGAAACAAGCGAAACGTCTAAATCCCATCAGCTCTTTGGGCTACGTAAGGAGGTCTGGCGATACCTTCCTTTCCTCTTCCAAAGCCCTCGCCCCTTCCGGGAGGGGGTGCCCTCTCGCTCCCCTTCCTGAGATTAGTTGGGAGGATTCGCGAGATGGCAGGGGGCCCTTTTTCGCCCAAGATGGCTCCAAGAGGGCCTCCGATGCTCCAAGATGGCCTCCAAGGCGGCTCAAGATATAGCCGAAAATGGTTCAAGATAGCTTCCGACATAACTCCAAAAGGCCAGACGAGTGCCACAAGACGCTTCCAAGTGCTCTCGGAGCGCCCCCCCAGGACCCCCCCAAGAGGCCAAACTCCATCGAAATCGGAAACCTAATCAGTGATTGATTATGTTTCGCCTTCTCGCTTCCGATCCGCCTTTGAGGCCTCAAGATGGCCCCAAGATGGCCCAAGAGAGGCCGAAGAGGGGCCCAAGAGGCCCCCCAGACGGCCCGTAAGAGCGTCCAAGATCGGCCCAAGAGCGTCCCAAGAGCGCCCCAAGAGACGACTTGGATGGCCCTGGGGGCGGGGGGACAGAAATTTAGACCCCCCCCCTTTTGATCGATGGCCTCCAACATGGCACTAAGAGGCCCCTCAAGGCTCCCAAGGAACCCCCAAAAGGACTCCATGAGGGCCCCAAGGGGGCCCCAAGACCCTCCAAAAGAGCCCCAAGATGACCCCAAGAGCCTCCAAAAGAGTCCCAAGAGGGCTCCAAGAGGTGATTGTGAGGGCTCTGCCTTCCTCCTCCTCCCCCTCCTCCTCCTCCTCCTCCTCCTCCTCCTCCTCATCCTTCCACTCCTTCCCTCGCCCCCACGCGGGCCCCAGAAATGGCCCGAAGAGGCCCTCCAAGGCCACCCCCTTGCTCCCAGAGATTTCTCTGTTTACCCTGGTTGCTCCCGTTGTTTCACTACATGTGTCTCTTCGTCCGTTTTCCCGCCAGCTCTCACAGACAGATTTCTGAATGGGCTGGTGGGGATTTTTGTCGCAACCGCAGGCGAAGGCGCCAGCGGCGAGTCGAGTCGGCTCGGGCTACGAGCGGAGCTAATTGCCGGCGCGCGCGCAAGAAACAGCAGGACCTACCGCCGGGGGAAGCAGCTGCACCGAGGGCCGTGCTGCAACCGCCGAGGCTGAGAGACAGCGCCGAGGGTAGGGGCTGCAAGCTGCTGGGGCTGCCAGGAAGCTGCAAGCGTGCGGGTACCATTGCTGGTGGGGATACGCGAAGCGTGAATTATATTTCGGAAACGAAGAAGTTCTGTGCGGTTTTCCTCCTCGGGCTCTTCTGGAGGGCCTCTTGGAGCACTCTTCTTGGACAGTCTTGGGGGCCACTTATAGTGGAGGATCGCGCCGCATCGCTGATGCATCGGTGATACATCGCCGATACACGGGCGATGCATCGGAGACGTCGGCAATGCATCGGCACCATCAGCGTGGAGAAAATCGGGCTCCACATCGAGCTGTATCGGCGTTGCATCGGCGATGCCGCGCGATCCTCCTACCCATCTACTCCGACCGAATCCAGGACGCCTAGATAGACCCTGGAGAAAGCACGGGGAGCCTGAAGGACCCGCATGCCCTCGGGGCCCCTCGCCCTCACGCCGAGCCCCCGGAGCCCTCCTGCGGAAGCGGCCCCCGCCGCGCCGGAGGAGGCGCAGCACACACGCGGGGCGGGCCCGAGGCTCCCAGCCAGACTGGATCCTCGATCCTCCTCCTCCTCCTCCTCCTCCTCCTCCTCCTCCTCCTCCTCCTCCTCTTCCTTCTCCTCGATATTCCAGCAAGGCCTCCGTCGATCGTCGATCCTCGACCCTCCTCCTCTCGAGGTGGGGGGAGAGGAGCTTCTGACTGTACGGCCGGGCGTGTCGGGCGCCTGCTCCTCAGGTCCCCCCATGCTGGGGCAGAGGCGCCGGGCGTGGCCGAAGCTGCTGGGAGTGCCAAAGGGAGGCCTCGCTCGCCAAACCACCGCTGGAACGGGCAGCAGCGTGGAGAGCGTGAGGACCTCTTTTAAATCGACGAATTAGGTCCCCTCGCGTTGTGGAAAATCACGACGGAAGCTTTTTCTATGTTTTCGGCGCCCAGGGCCCTCACTGGGACTCGGGACCGTCAGAAAACAACTCGAGATGAGAAACCAGTCTTGGGGAAGGGGTCCATACCTCTGGGGGTCGACGGTGCGAAGAAACCACGACGTCGGAGGTCTGGGAAGAGGGCCCCAATGCCATCTCGGAGGCGCAGCACGCCATGCAGGCCGATCCGTCGCAGGCGGCTCCTGCCCAGGTCTCTGTCCGCGGCGCAACCCTATAGGGCGTCTCGCTCTGACGCTGCAGCGTCGAACGGGCCAGAGCAGGCTGCTGGTGCAGTGCAGCGTTGGGTCATTCGTGAGGCGGGCTGGCACGCGAGAACAATCGGGAGGAGAACAGAACAGCGGAGGAAGGCGGCCCAGGGGACGGAGCATGGAAAGGAAGACGGCCGGGGGGGAGCGCGTGAGGAGGGTGGAGTGGGAGAGCCGAGGGGAGGGAGGAAGAGGGGGGAAGAGGGGGAAGAGGGGAGAGAGGATCAGGGAAGGATGCGCTCCCCACGGAGAGCTTGCACGCAAGGGCCCTCGCCCAGCTTGCCCGAACCCCCAGCAGAGTGCGGCGCGGTCTCGCCGAGTGCCCCGTGGCTGCCCCCGTGGGTGCCAAGCCCACGGGCACCTCGTGGGGCACCCCGTGCGCTGGGTGGGGTGCGGCGGGGTGTCGCCCGGTGCCCAGTTGGTGCCCGCCCGCGGCTGGCTCGCGGGCGGGCGCCCGGTGGGCGCCTCGTGGGCGCCCACCGGGCGCCACGTGGTTTAAGAACCACCGAGCTTGCGCCACATCACGCGCACCCCGTGCTGACACCACATAGCCTGTGTACCACACAGTTTGCACCACCCAGCTTGCGCCGCACCTGAACCCACGCAGCTGGCACCACTCAGCCGAAACCAAAAAAGCGTCCACGGCATCGCTTGCGCCACATAGCTTGCACCACATAGCTGACGCCACAAAGCTTGCGCTATGCTTGCGCAATTCAGCTTACACCAAGAAGTTGCACCACCTAGCTTGCAGACTGCAAGTTACATCACAATGCTTACACCAGCTAGTTTGCACCACAAATCTTGCACAAAATAGATCACATAGACCCTTCAAATGGTCATTTTGTCATGTGTACGCTACGCGGCCACCCATCCTAAATATGAGGTCGTCCCATCCCAGCCAGTCCCCTTATTGACTTCCCTCTCATCCATGTCAAATCAACTTTGCGGGGCGTACGCTTTGATCGATCAAGGGCATGTGCGACGAACCTGTATCAAACAGCACCATGCGGGCCCCGCACACGCGCACATAGCAAACACCACTGCCCATAACCGTTGTCTTTCGAATGATCTCAAACACAAAACTACGGAACCATGTTGCCTTGCAAGAAAAAGTGACAGGTCTCCGTGCGCGCCCTTGATGTAAGCGATAAAGCACCACACTTGTGCTGCCAGTCTGCCACAGAGACAATGTGGGGAACATGGTCACATGCGCGCGCATATCAGCATCTTGCAACGACCATCGCGCACCCGCCAATTCAGTGAAAGAACGCCATGCGGGCCACATGCCCGGGTCCCCGCGCGCGCATGTCGAAAGCATTGCAACACGAATGGCCCCCTAAGCAACTCACATTATGGAGTGTTCGGTACATGCTGGAAAAATGGACTTGGTGTCAAAGTAACTGGCATGTCCGCACTGCAGCGAGCCATCGCCCTCATCAACACCATCGCCATTATCATTGCCCAGCGTCACGAATGCCATCGTCATGATCACCAATGTCATCTTCACCGTTCCCATCATCAACGGCATCGTCATCGCCGTTGTCTTTGTTTTCGTCATAATCGCTGCCAGCGTCACCATCATCATCACCACCATCATAATCATCATCACAATCAGCATCATCATCATCATCATAAGCATCTCATCCTCATCATCATCATCATCATCATCATCATCATCATCATCATCAACATCATCACCACTACCACCATCATAATTTCAGTCGTATCCGCCGACGTCGTCGTCACCATCATGACTCGCCCGCCCGAGCCATGGATCTGCATGATGAGGGTCTTCAAGTCACTGCGCCAGTAGAGGTGTGCCAGCAAGCTGCGCGTCGGGTGGGCCGAATAACCTGCGCATCCAAAATGCAATGCATGCGCTTGTCCCGAGTCGCGGCGCGCCTCGCGGACGGTGGTGAGCTCGACGAACCTGCCCACCCGCGGGGAGTGCTCCCCTCCTGTTCCTACGTCCCTCCTCTTCATCCATCCTCCTCCTCATCACCACGATCACAACCGTCATCATCGTCATCACCATCCTCATCCTACTCTTCCAACTCCTCCTGCCCCACTCCCTTCCCCTCCCCCCCATTCTCGACCTCCCTATCCTCGTGCCATCATACCCCTCGTACTCTCCCTCACCATTCTTCCGCCACCTCCACCGCCTCCTGCCTCCTCATCACCACCACCATCATCATCACCACCACCATGACCACCACCATCACCATCACAATCATCCTCATTCCTCACACCTCTCATCATCACCAACGTCCTCCTCCTCCTCCTCATACATCCCATTTCCGTATACGTAGCCCCCCTGTCGCACCCCCCGTCGTGTCGATAGGGCGGGCGGGGTGTTTCGCCTGAGAATTTCTCGTCACTTCTGATACTGAGCCTTGGAAGTTGCAACGGTCGGAGATCTCCAAATGCGGCTCTCGCCTTTGCGCTACGCGCATTCGCTTAAAACTCCTGCAACAGCTCCACGGATAGAGGCCGGTTCCTTTGAAATGTGGCTCTCGCCTTAGCGCCGCGCACATTCGTCTTAAAAGGTTGCAACAGCTTCACGGATGGAGGGCGGGTGGTTTTCAACATGTGGCTCTCGCCTAGCGCCGCGTCAATTAGTTTTACACGTTCTCGTCCTCTTCGATGTCCTCGTCCTCGTCTTCCTGCTCCTATCCTCCTGAACAATCCTTCTCCTCCTGCTCCTCCTCGTCCTCGTCAAACTCCTCCTCCTCCTCCTGCTCCTCCTCCTCCACCTCCTCCTCCTTCTCCTCTTCGTTCTCCTCCTCCTCCGCCTCCAACACCTGCTATTCCTCCTCCTCCTCCTCCTCGTCCTCCTCCTCCTCCTCCTCCTCCCTCTCTGGAGGAAGCTCCGACCAACTCCGAAAACTGCCGACGGCGTTCGGAAAAATGCAGAAATACTTGAAATCAACAGCCTCTCATCCTCCTCATCCTCCTTCGGGCTGCAGATAGCCAAATTTGCTTCCAAGCGCAGGGCAGAGATCTGCCGATACATCCTTTAATGGCCAGCCACAATCATTATCACCAGCGCCTCCTCCTGCACCCTTATACTTCTGGCCCTCCTCCTCTTCCTCCTCAACCTCCTTCTCCTCCTCCTCCCTTCATCCCTCGATCGTACCAATACCTCATAGATCACCCATGGGCTGACGAGGAGGTTGGGAGGACCTTGCATCTCGATCTGCAAGCCGATGTACAATCCGATTCGCATGTCTGTATGTTTCGAGGTGCATTTCGAACGATATCCCGACTTACATCTCGATCTGCAACACAATCGATATTCATGCCGATGTGCATGTCGATGTCCCATCGGCCTTGCACTGCGATTTGAATGTCGGCGTGCATTGCGTTGCCATATCGGCATGCGTCTGCAATTCAATGCACATTTCGATGATCAACAAAACTGCCGTGTAGATGCGCAACTCAAGTCACATTACAATGTTGTTGTCGAGGTGCATTCCGATTGCACCTCGATGTGCCATTCGATGTGATGTTTCATGTTCAGTTGATGTGCATGCCGACGCTGTACGAATTCAACTGGATTGTCAGTTCGATGTGCACTTCCCCTGGGGCAACCACGGACCAACCACAAGACAACCACAAGGCAACCACGGGACAACCCACGGGACAACCCAAAAGCACAACCACATAACAACCGCAACACGACCACGGAACAACAACGGGACAATACACGGGACAACCGACAGAACAACCACAGGACAACCCATGAGGCATTCCACAAAACAACCCGCGGCGCTACCGCCAAAAAAACGCACTAAACAACCACAAGTAAACCCACGGAAAAAACATGGGAGGACCACGGGCCAATCCCGGGCAAACCTGCACGAGAAACCCGTTCCACACCGCAGCACGTGAGGGCAACACCGTCTGCCCGACTTGGCCCTGGCCTCGGCCGATGCCTCGTCGCCCTTGCACAGCTCCGCCTCGCCTGCATGAACGACGCGAACTCAAATCGAAACAGGTCTCATGTTAAGCCCAATGCTTCGTCACCCCCCAAGCTCCGAACCACTCCCCAACATACCACCAGACGTGCCGGCAGGGCGGGCCAGGCCTTTCGACCGAGAATCCCCCATCGCCTATGACCCTGGCGCATATAGATTCTCAGCATGGAAGGTGACGAAGGGCGGGTCATGTTCAAGCGGTGGCTACCGTGCAAGCGCCGAACACATTCGTCTGAACAACTTCCAGCAGTTACAAGTTACAGGGATGGGGGCGGGTGGCTCTCGACATGACGACGCGCACATTCGCTTTCCGAACTTCCACACACTACAAGCATGCAGGGCGGATCCTCTTCCTATACAAACCTCTCAACATAGCGCCGTGCACATTGGTCTTAGAATCGTCCAACAAGTCCATCGATGGAAGGCGGTTTGTGTTCCAACCCTTCCTATAGTATTGGGTCCTCGATTTGAATCATCAGCGCCCCGCGTCCCCTCTCCTCTCCTCTATTCTTCCCCCTCTTCTCTCCTCTCCACCTCTGCCTGGGCCCTCCGTACGCACATTCCGGCACACCCCTCCCGCGCTTCGTGGCCCCATAGGTAGCTCCACCGAAGCCCCCAGGGGGAGGGGGGGCAGCATATCGTCCTCCAGCCCTTCCGACACACTCCGCACACGCTTCGTGGCCCAATAGGGGGCACCACCGAATCCTCCAGGATGTGGGGTCGCAAAGCGTCCCCAAAACCATTCTGGCGCACCCGGTCACACGTTTCAACCGAAGCTCACATTGCGTCCTCCAACCCATTCGTGCACACTCCTCACATGTCCCGTGGCCCCATCGGGAGCTCCACCGGAGCCCCCAGGGGAGAAGGGTCCAAATCCCAACTGGATGGTTCAGATCCCAACTAGATCCCAGCCGAAAAAAAACGGAACGGTCCAGATCCCAACCACTCTGAGTTGAGCTTCCAAGCGCAAATCCCTCAAGGTTTCCTGAAGGATTCCTGAGGGACTCGTGAGGATCCGTTCGGACTCCGAACTGGTTCCTGAGGATTCCGAGAAGATTCCTGCGGATTCCGAACAGATTCCTGAATCATCCTTATGGATTCCGGCGGATTCCTGAAAATCCCTGAAGCATTCCTAAGGATTCCTCAGGGTTTCGTCCAGAATTCTTGACGGATTCCTGACGATCCCTGAAAACTCCTGAAGATGCATGAAGATTCTGAAAGGTTTTTGAGGGGGTCCAGAAGAATTCTTAAAGATTCCTGAAGAGTCCTCTATGCCTTTCTGACGGACCCCTGAAGATTCCTCGGAGGCTGCCTGATGGATTCCTGCGGGATTCCTGAAGGAGTGCCAGAGGTGCAAGGGGGAATACGAGGGTGGAAGAGCAGTCTCTTGTCAGAACCACAACAATCGCATGGCCCTCGGCCCAATCCGCCACCGCGTCGGAAGTGTGGGTCTGGGGCCTCAGGGATGGATGCCGAGGTCTGTTTGGATGCTTTTTTGTCTCGGAAGATTCTTGGAATGCTGTCGGGGCCTTCTGGGGCCTCCTGGGGGGGTCTCGGGGCCTCCTGGATGCCTCTTTTGGGCCTCTGGGGCCCTTTGCGAGCGGGCGATCTTGAGCGGGAAACTCAAAATGTCTTTTTGGTTTCCTCATATGAGCCCACTCTTGCATACGTCGATTTGAATATGTGTACGCCAACACATAATTGTTGAATACTGTATATGCGTGGTGTACACGTTTTGCATGTGATTCAAATGCGTGTCGTCTGCGTTTAGCATGACGCTGCCTTTTGTTGAACGCGTGTTGGATACGTGTTGGATACTCCGTCAATGCGTGTGTATATTTTCCAAACGCGCCGATCCCCGCTTCCCGCTATAATATTCAATCGGTGTTGGGTTGCTGTTTTCTCATATAGGATCAATCGGACATGAGCCGGTCCTCGCCTCTTGCAAGGACAAATTCGATATTCGGCGTTGCCTTCAAGCGGGGTCAACTTGCAAATGCAGCTAGACTATCGCATGACTATGTTGGCTATTCTACTGAAGATATGTTCTGAAACCCGCCGACCCCATCACTCAGCTAAACTCTATTACAATATTCCTCCAAACTGGACATCACTACAACATGTGTCGGTCCCTGACGCCAGCACAATTCGTTACAACTCCATGCGATTTACATTTGCAGTTCAATAAGAAATACACTGCCTCCAGCCACCCGCCCGATTTTCTAATATGTATAATCTGCCGACCCCATAGGCGTGTGAGATGGAATTTCGTGCACAATATTTCCTTGCTCGCTACTCCCACCAACACTGACGCCCCCTCCTCGCTCACAGAACCACAAGACCGCTGCTCTTGGGACCTCCCACCGCATCTCGCCCAACCCTTCACCCCACGATTTCTCGCCCAAAACCAACCGATACCCCCCACCTGGCCCCCGCCTGGCCCAGGCATCCCCACCCACGGAGCCTCTGATCTTGGCTCCCCACACCCCGCGAATTCTCGTCCAAAACCGACACATTCCCGCCACCTGGCCCTGGCATCCCCACCCACAGAACCTATGATCTTGGGACCCCCACGCCACGTTTTCTGTTACAAAACCAACCGATACCCCCGCGCCTGGCCCCCACCTGGCCCCGGCATCCCCACCCACAGAACCTCTGCTTTTGGGGCCCCCCACCCTACGATTTCTCGCCCAAAACCAGCCGATAACCCCCACCTGGCCCCCACCTGGCCCCGGCATCCCCACCCACAGAACCTTTGTTTTTGGGATTCCCCACCCCGCGAATTGTCGCCCACAACCGACCGATACCCACTTGGCCCCCACCTGGCCCCGGCATCCTCACCCGCAGAACCTCCATTCTTGGGACCCTCCACCCACGATTTCTCGCACAAAACCAGCCGATACCCCCCGCTTGGCCCCCACCTGGCCCCGGCATCCCCACCCACAGCACCTCT